AGAAGCTGAAGAGCCTGAATGCATGGCGGTAAGAGAAACCACACAGTCTCACTCTCTGCATGCTAGAAACACATCCTGGCATGGAGAATTAATGGTGAATGCTACAGAAACCATGTCAGAGAAGTACTTCTGAAAAGGCTGGAAATAACGCTAACATGTGCAAGGCTAGCGAGAGGTTATTTTACAGGTAGGTAAGACAAAAGAAGCTCATTACTTAAGAAATTGGCTAACAAAGGAAAAGTCAGGAATGTCAGTCATGAACATATTAATTCTCAGATTAGAAAAGAAAGCATAAAGCACTTATTTCAGGCAGAAGGGCACTATGACAGAATACAGGTTGTGCTGGCAAAAGAACAGTTCTTCCAGATATTTATATGTAGGCTAAAAGGTAGGTGGGGACCTGCATTATCAGCTTATTTATAAGGCTACCTGCAGTATCAGTTCACAGTAGAAAGTGGAAATAATTTTGTACACAGAAAAGCAGAGGTATTCTGTTGACCACTAATGGACAAATAAAGATGAAGCGGCCTCCAACGACTTCCTAAATACACCCCTCTTCACACTAAGAACATCAATTTCATCAGCTTTTCAGGCTCAAAATTAAAGAGATCCCTAATAGCATTTACAAATGAAAACGTTGTATATGCATGTAACCAAGAGGAAAATATTTTTAGCCCATTAAAAGGTGATAAAGTTCTCTGTAGGTCTGAGAGTGAGAACTATCTGTCCAAGCAGTAACCACTCAAACATCTGCAAGGTATTACAACAGAGGATAGAAATTTAAAGTATTACTAGAAAAGAAGTCATTATGCTACTTCTTCAATGCTGTCATCCAGAAAATAGCCAAAATATTGCAACTACAACGTTGTAAATGTTTTTTTCCCAAGTCTCTTGTACCATTTCTTGTACCTTATATACATCATATACATTTACTGAAAATCTTTGACAACAGCAGACATCACCTCTTTCTGTAAGGTAGTTTTCTGCGAGGTCCTGCTGCTTTTTTTTTTTTTTTTTTAAAAAAAAAAAAAAAAAAAAAAGTCTGATGATGATGGAAAAGTTGGGAATACGAATTTCAGATCTCTGAGCCTCTTTCCATATATGGATAGCACAATAAGAAGTAAAGAATTCCACCTGCCAAAATCTCCTTCTCATTTAAAATGAGTCAACTTTAGCTCTCCTGCATCCAGTAATTGCTTTCTGGCCAATGGACAAAGAACTTTATAGGTCAAAAGAGGAAAAAAAAATCCTATCTGAGAAACAAAAGATGTTATTCAGATCCTGCAGATTCATTATAAGGAACTACATTAAGCAAACACAGCCACCAAGCTGGTAATAAGTGAAAATAATTTTCACTGAGAATTGTATTGCTTACAGTGAATCCTCAGGCGACAAAAGCACATGCTGAGGCCAAAGGTTTCATCTACTCAAAGAAAGCACAAAACCCTCACATGAAACAACAAAGTCTCAGCACTCAAAACAAAGCACTCACAGGGTATTTGGGGTCTCAAATTCATTCAGAGGATTTTATACATGTCCCTAGCACATCAGAATTACTCATATAACTAACTGCAGGCAAGCTATAATTTTGGTAGAAAGATTTGTTGCTTCAAGAGGAAAGCACTTTCTTCCACTGTAAATTATTTGTAAAGGCTTTCTCAGATGCTTGGAAAATCAGGACTAGGGGGAAAGGTAACATATACATAATTTATATAAAACTCAGACTCAAAACTACATGCTTATCTACAGACTGTCAATAAGAAAAAGTTAATTGATCTAAGTGGGTCAGTTCATAAGGAAATGCTGCCTACCGATGCCTATTTTACTGCACTGCACACAGCTTATGTCGTCAATCCAGAATAAGAAGAGAGCATCAGTGCAACAGAACAGACTCTACGCTTCACGTTCTATCCATGATTTGGGGGCCCAAAAACTTCAGTTCTATAAGCCTACATTATCGACAGAAAGCCGTTTCTTACCCCAGTAAATAGGCGCAGCCATCCATCAAAACTACACCTTAACAAGTACTGTGAGACACTCTCTCAAACAATCAGCCAGAAACCCACAATCCCCCACCTTTTTTTTTTTTTTTTTTTTTTTTTTTTAAATCAGACTGTTATGTTTCTAGCCAGGCAGACCTTTTAATGTCAGGAGTTTAAAGCAGTAGGAGAAAAACCCTGAAGTGAATATAACTCCTTCATTGTTCTAATCGTCATAGCAATAGAAGATTAGACATGATATTATTTTCTGGTTGCTAGAAGATTTTGTTGTTTCCACACAATGTATACTATTAGATGTTACTGGCATTCTCCGCTTGAGGAAAATCTGCCATCTGCAATACGCAGCAACACAGATACAGCCAGCAGGGACAAGGAAGAAAATACCATGGTATAAGGAGACATTCTCATACTTGGAAGAAATCCAAATGGAAAAGTTTGACTGACAAAGCTGGCACGCGTTGTAATAGAGATCTGTGCCTCCTCTACTGGATTCCCCATCTTCAGAAAAATACTTGGCCTGAACTGCTGAGAACAAAACAAGTGAATGACTATGCTGGGATATTGACAAAACCCAGCACTGGCTATGGAAGCAAGAATTGAAGCTTAACAAGTAACCAATAAATAAAAATAGATTATGTATGGTCTATCATGTTTCTAAACATTACGAACGCTGCAGTATTACTGCTTACATACTATCATAACACGACGCTACGTATTTTGTGTCTTTCTTCTGCAACAGACACAGTGCATCATCTCATTTCCAGGCACTCCTTCTGAAACAATGAGAAACGTACCTGTGGCTTCTAATAGAACAACAACATTTTCCATAATGTAATGAAATATCCTCTGTGTTGGATCAATGATGATACACCCATTTGGAAAATTCATTCTGACATTTTCAAGCTAACAGTTGGTTTCTTGCATATGAGCATTGTACTCTTCCTTAGTACTCTAAGCTGAATTCTATACTGAGTTAAGTTCAAAGACAGTATTCCTACTACTGCAAGGAAAGCTTATATCCTGCTCAAAAGAAAATAATTTACTGTTAATTTCCTTTGTTATAGAAAAAAAAAAAAGTAAAGAAAATTCTATTTACTATATACATAAATTGTTTTATGATTACATTACTACAATAATTGAGAATTTGGAAACATTAGTTTGCAAAACAGTTAAAAAGTCCTATGTCAAAACTAAAAGGTTTGATTTAATAGATTTCTGATTCTGCACATTCCTTGCATCAGCAACTCAGGAAGCGGTGCTTAAGTTACACACACACAACGTTAATTTTCAGTTTTGGTCATATGGAAATAAACTTGCAAACAAACTTTGTCTATGTCTAAAACATTACTTCATCTTGAAAGATTATATCAATCCCATCCCTTTTGCCCTAACATTGTATATTTTGTATATTTTCATGTTGCATTTTGAACACGGTAACAATCTACTGCAAGAAGGTACAATTACTTTACCTGCAACAGTACCCACGGAGGCTGTGTGCCTGTGCTCCATGACAGACCAATATATATGAGCTCTATTTCCCCCTTCTCCATACAGCTCTATTTGCCTAAACTGGCATTTTAGAAGCAAAACAGAAAAACTAGTAGATTTTACATCAATTTATGTCACCAGAAAGGCAGATTCCTAAGGTCTTCACTTTATGTCACTGAAGTTAAAGAAGTTTTGAAGATAATTTCACGGAAAGAACTACGTCCTTCACCATTATGTGAAAAAAGCCCTTCTGCTAATTTAAGGGCACTCTTTGCACTTTGCAATAAGAGGGTCTGTGAGAGATCATTAAAAAAAAAAAAAAAAAACATTCAGAAATGTTAATAAAACATCTGAAAGACTGTGTTATTGCTGCCCAAGCTGCACCAAAGCTCTAATAAAAGTGCACTGTGAAAGCCTGTCCTGTGTTTTACTAAAGGACTGAGAGACAGTAACTGAGTGCTCAGTAAGAGATGCCCCCAAAAGTCTCAGCAAAAGAAACCAGTGAACACTGATCCACTTCACAAGCAATTTCACACAAGGTTAGTCAAAACCAAGAAAAAGACTCTAAAACAATACATTTAACTTGTAAAGACTCAGTGAATTGCAAACCAACTCATTTCTCATCACAGACAGTTTTCTACAGGAACATTCTGTAGCTTGAGGACTAACAAAGAGTTATTAACACCAAAAGCTTTTAATAGCTCCAACAGGATTTGACATCGTAATTACAGATGCTGGGTCCCTACACTGAGGAGGGAATGCAGTTTTACACCCAGTATACCCAACCTACAGCAAAAAACACAGTGTAGCAATAAAAGATGAGCCACAGCTTGCATGAGCTGCAAGAGACTATGAAAGCAAAGCTTTCTGCTGCAGAAGACAAGTTCTAGTGAAACTGCCGCGATTGACTTAAACAGGTCTTCGGCTGGCGTTACAAATCGTTGCAGCACAAGGAGCTGCTGGGCAAAACTTGCGAGAAGTGGACGCTTCCCCCAGGGGAGCTCGAGAGACACGAGCGCAGCCTCAGCGCCTGAGGAGCCCGGCGGGCACCGGGGCCAGCATACCGGGCAAGGCACCAGAGCCACGCAGCCCACCCACCAGGGCCACCCACCGCCTCGCCTAGGTCAACTCACAGCCCGCACCTCGCTGGAAAGAAAAAAAAAATGAAAAATAAAAAAACACAGAAAGTCCGGGAGTGAGGAGGTCGCCGCCGGCGCGCCGCCGACCCTCGGCCGGGTGCCGGCGGTATGACGGCCGGGACGGAGCGCTCGGCACGCGGCCCCGCACCGCCCGCCGGGATGCCCGGCGCCAAGCACCGCCGAAGCGCCCCGCACGGCGCCGCTCCCGCGGCAGCAATTCCCGCTCCGGCTCCATCCCGGGGGGGACGCGGACCGGCAGCGGCGCCGCGAGTCCCGCCGCCATTTCCCCCCCCGCGGTCGCGAGGGGCAGAGGGCGGGCAGCGGCCCACCTGTTCGCGGCGGCGGAGCGGGGGGAAGGCAGGGGCGGCCCTACCTGGGATGGCCAGGTTGGTGAGCGGGGTGCTGCGGATGCTGTCGGGCAGAGCTGCCATCCAGTCGGCGAACCGCGGCTCGTTCTTGCCTTGCGACGAAGCCATGCCGCCGTACCCCGACCGCTCTCCTACTGCCGCCGCAACCGCTCGTTCCAGCCCGCCCGGCCCCGGCCCGGCCCCGCCCGCCCGGCGCCGCCCCGTCCTCGCCGCCTCGCCCCCGCCCGCTGCCCCTCCCCGGCCGGGCCCTGGTTCCGATGCGGTGTGCTGCTCGTGTGGCCGCCGCGTCGCCGCTCGGCGCGGCCGGGCTGTCCCCGAGGAGGGCAGGGGTTGGCGACGGGAGCTTCAGCCCGTCCCAGGTAACTCAGGGGACGAGGAGCCGTCTCAGGCCGGGCGCTGGGCGGCAGAGTTCGTGCCGCCGCTCCTTTCCTGGCACAGAATTCGCCTGTGCCGCCGGCTGGGCCGTGTCACCCATCTCCCCTCAGCGCTAATTCGGGATCTCAGCCCAGCTTCTGGAACGGTGGTGGGGACATCAACAGCCTCCTCGTTCCCTATGCAGTCCTTGGGCACCAAATAGCCTCCCTGGCCCTGGCTGCAATTGTAGAATCACATAGTATCACAAGTTGGAAGGGACTCATAAGGATCAGCTAGTCCGACTCCAGGCTCCACATAGAATCACCAGAAGTCAGACTGTCTGATGGAAAGCATTGTCCAAACACTACTACTACTCTGGCAGCTTGTAACCAGTGCCCTGGGCAACCTGTTCAGTGCCCAGCCACTCTATCAGTAATAGAACTGCAGAATAAGACCAGATATCCTCTGTGCTGGTACCTTGACCTTGGCAGGATCTCCCAGCTGATGGCTGCTCCAAGTTTCTTTGTTCCTATGTGAAATCTCTGCAATGGGTTGTTCACACCAAAAAAATAATTCCTTCCTGCAATACTCTTTGGAGATTTGTTTTCTTTTGGCTTTGCCCTTTGCAGATGATATAAATTAGTATCATCCATTCTCATTCCCAACCCGTCTTTATTTTGAGAGGCAGCTTCTTCAATGTTTGCATTAGCAAAGCGTTTATATTTCTGCCCTAGAATCAATGAATTAATGAAGCCAATAAGGCTCTGTAAGCCATCTGGAGCTGTTACAACAGTCTTGATCTGTTGACCTCAGCATGAGCAGTCATGTTTTATTGAAGTGGCTGATATGTGTGTGGAATTCTGGAGGTGTGCACTTGTAAGAAATAATGCCTGAAAAGAACCAGGGTAGACGATCACCTCACCTTGAAGTCCTAGCAGAGCCAGCTGTGGTCCTGCATTTGTGTTATTCCTCAACATCTTTGATAGCAGCTGTTTTAAGGAATAAAAATGCAGGGAGCAGTTATTAATAGCCATTATTTCTCTTTTGGTCCAAGTGTGCAGAAGAAACAAAAGCAAACAAATAAAACACACACACAATACAACCTCTTCCTTCAGCCCAAAATAAAGATTTCTTGAAAAATGAATATTTCTGACATTTCTTTTTTAAAAACAGAGAAAATGCTGACTCACTCATTGCAATAGAAACAGTTCTTAAGGTGGGTTTTATATGGATAAATGCAAACAGATGGTTGGCCTTGGGAGAGATGTTGGATGTGAATTGATGCCACATGAAAGAGAAGGAGAAGTACACAAGCGATCACATAATGTGTTTAATTTTTCAGTATTTTTGTAAGCTAATTTGCCCCTTTCAAGATCACTGGTATTAGTAAACATGGAAAAATGTCTAGATTTTGGATATGAAAACATAAAATACTCTAATGACCTGGAAATGGAAGGTACTGCTTTACTTTATCTTCAAAGGACAGTATGAAATTACAATACAAAAATTACAGATTTCTAAAGAGCATTCCAGTGAGGAGTAATGAGTATTTTTATTACCATGATTGGATCAAATCTGTTGTAAGTGGCAAAGTTAGTAATGGATTGCACTTGTTACCTGGAAAACTACAGCTGATTTGTTATCCACGCCACTACTTGTTCTGTCTTTTCTGACATAAAATAGGTGTATAGTGGTTTTTGAAAGCTTAAGTATGTTGCTAATAACTACTGTTGATCTTTGCCAGTCTCTAAAGCTTTTGGCTTAACTCAGAGAAAAATGAAATCGTACACATGAAAGCCCTGTCATTTTTCAATGTATTTTTTTTTATAATAATGGTAGAAATATTTAATAGCATTCCATTGTTCCTAGTTCACTGGAGAACTGTAAAAGTCTCTCTTTGCACTGGTGAGAAACTCACTGGCTTTTGTTTCTACAGATAGCTAGAGCTTTCGTATCTGCTTTTTTCTTTCAGTGTGTGAAGTTGGATTGGATGCAGGTTGATCTATTAACATATTTATACTTGTATTCTTTATAATCAAATTAGAAACACAGAGAACCTGAGAATTGTGCATGCCTTAATGCAAATTTTTTTAAAAGTCCAAAATGCAGACTTGTGTGTACTCTTAAAACAGAACAAAATAATTAGCATATATGGAAATGTATTTTGTTATTATTAACCAAATTCTGGAAGTTGAGAAGAAGAAGGTGAAAGATGAGTGATAATGCACGCATCCAGCATGCAGGCAGAAATCAATCCTCCCTGAGGATTATTTCTAAGACTTCTGAAAGAGAGCAGTTGTTCTATTTTATACCCTTCTCTTTTCTAAGTTTGTCATGTGGAGTTATTTAGTGCTTAAGAAAGGCCATTTAAAGTGTCTAAAAGAACAAAGCATTGTACTTCTGATGTTATCCCACACCATATTTCTTACTTAGGTTATTTGTTTAAAAATGCATCAATGGTGGCTGCTTTTTCATCTGGTTAAAAATGATCAAGTTTGGTAACAGCATTACTGTAAAGACTGTAACGGCATTACTGAGGGTGGTGATGGCAGAACTTGAAAAATTCTATTTTCCACACAGTGGTATAAGATCACACAAATAATATGCAACTTCTGTGCAGGGAAGGATGCAAGAAATGTTGCTTTTCATATGTAAAAACTCATGAACATTCTGCCATGAACAACTCTCTATGTGTTCTTGAAATATTCACAGGGCAAAACAAGCTGGATAACAGTATAATTTCAGCACATTCTCACAAATTAAAAGTGGGCTTTAACAAAAGTAAGAGCTAACTGAGCTAATTTATCAGTGGGTTTATCACAAGCAAAGCAGAAGCAAGAACCAAAGCTAATCATCATTGATGTAGCCACCAAATATTGTGTTGAGGTGGTCAGAAAATATTTTATCTGTAGGAAAATATCTACCTTTGTTCCAAAAAAATGCAGAGATGAAAGCAGCAGACAGGTGCCTCCTCCCTCTAGTTTCTTTCTCCCCCCCCCCCCCCCCTCCCCCCCCAATTTTTAAGCTTTCCGGCAGCAGCAAGGAAGAATTAAAGGTTTTCAAGGCAGTCAGATAGTTTTGTCAGAAAATCTACTCCTCTGAAGGAACAGACATTTTTGAACACTCTAACTAAAGTCAGTACTGAAAATACACATGGCTCCATAAGAATTCAAATTTTCTGGATGCTGGGATCGTACCTTTGGGGTTACATCTAACATGAAGAAAAAAAAAATAGGAACATCTAAGTAAAGACTATTAAAAGATAGAACCATGTGAAGAAAACTTCATTAATGATGTTTATAATACTACCGTGGTAAGAAAAGATAAACCTATACAGAGAAAAATTGGTGAAGGTACCAGGAAATAAATGGATGAGATTACCTGCAGGATTTTACAGCAGATCACTAAAGACAGGAGATGCAATAATTTTGTATGTGTCAGCCATTTAGGACATAGCTGAGATCTACAGGATAAGGTATTTAGCAACTCAGGGAAAAGAGGAAACTACTATTTCTAGATAGATGACCTAATAATAAAGCAACTTTTTATTTGTTAAAATATGGAAATTGGGTACTCTAAAAAGTGATTCTTAAATTCTACAACTGCTTCTTTACTATCAAGGGATTGTGAATGACATCTTGTAATTGATCTTGATTATGACTGAAGAGCACATATCCACTGTAATGTACTTCCCATTTGTTTGATGTAAGATTATTTTTTAAAGTGCAAACATTAGTCAAGTCACTCATTTTCTGTAGTAGCTGTTATTTAAAAGAAGATGTTATTTAAAAGAAATGGAAACAACTAAATGAGAAAATAGGGAAAGCAAATAAACATACAGTGGGTTCTTACGCAATTAATACCAAGCATTAATAAACAAAGAATTCTGATTTCTTTGGCTGGTGAAAAATAGACCAAAATGAAGTGAAGATAATGAAAATACTCCACTGGATTCAGTGGAATATGGATCCCCTGGATGGAGAACCAATGTGATTTGGTTAAAGGCTGATGTTTCTACTGTGCTTACATCCAAAGCCACTAGGGAAGAAAAGTATTTTCTATTTTTAAATAGAAACCATGATTGATGACACAGAGACTTCCCAACAGGAGCCAAAGAGTGTTAACAGTAGTCACTTCCACTCCTGGCAACTGGCATTGTTTTTTATGAAAGATGTATTTCAACATCTTAGACAAGGCTTCCCAAACAGGCTCTTGCTGTTTGCGTGGTAATGAAACACTGCCTAGCAGTGTTGGTAATAGTAAGCAGGACTAATGAGATTTTAGAATGAAATTGGTATGCTAGCCGCATTTAACAGGCTGTAGACCATTCATGCTGTGAGGATGAGAGGTAATGTTCCTTTCTAATTACACACTCCGCATGATTGGTATGAACAATGTGGTCACTTCATCTCGACATTTGTAGATGAGGTAGGACAAAGACACAAGGCACTGTTTCAGCCTTAATGAGCAATGCATCTAGCTTCTCCAGGGGAAGAGGTAGGAAGAGGTAGGCATGGATGCTAGAGAAAAAAAGACAACTACTAATTCTGGGAAGTCATATTTCCACTGTATGCCTGACTCTGATGTGTGATGTTAAGGAACAGCTTAATAGGAGTATATTATACAACAACATAAAATTTTCCCTTAAACTTCCTCCCTTATCTTCCAGCACAAGAGAATGAAGTGAGAGAGGAAGGCTAGAACAAGAGAACAAAGAAGCTGGAAGTGGATTGAAAATAACTGTCAAATGAGGA